AAACATTCTGCAGAGAAGAGCAAAAGTAAATAATAATAGCAATAATCATGATGATGATAAAGAATGCTAATGAGCTTTGATAAAAGATCTTGTAAAGCTGAGGTAGTCTAATAATAGCACTGTAACCAGAACGGAGTGCATGGAAGGTGGATTGTGCAAATTACATTTTAAGTGGTGAGAATAACCTGGCATAGGAAACAAGGAAGAGAGATTCGAAATGATAGATGGCATGTAATCAATTAAGAATCGCACTAACATATGTCTTCTTTTTGCTATCTTCATGTTTCTCTGATTTATCAGATGACTTGGACCCAAATCATGGAGAACAGTGTTTTACGATGATGTCAGTATTTTAGGAAAAAGAGCCAGGAATTTGAGATGTAAGCTGTTTACAAATACAACGGTGTCATTGTTGCTGCTGTTGTGCTTTGAGGATAACTGTTTGATTGTTAATTATGAAAACACAAATGGTAGATACAATTTTTTCTTAGAACAGGAGTGCTATGCCACTAAAACATGTATAACGGGGATTACAAGATCAACGAAGTGCAGGATTTTATAAAGACTGAATTTTAAATGCAATACAGCCAAAACACACAAAGAAACCAGACTTGTCTCATGAATGAATATTATTATAGCCATGTTTTATTAGATTTATTTAAAACTATCTACAAGTTGAACAACCTTTTTGAGCCCTCTTTAGAAAACACTTTTGCAATTTGCTGGAGCAATGGATTCTTTTCTATTTTTCTTTGAGCTACAGTGGCTAATCTGATTTTGATGTTTCGGTAATTATGTCAATTAATGTGTGCTGAGACTAATTTCATTTGTTGAAATGGATACCAGGTGAATATGTAATTAGTGTAATTAGAAGGTTGTCTCTTTAAGAACTTGAGTGCAATTTTCTAAGAGTAGCTGTAACATGGAAGAGGTTAAAATATAAATAATTTCTGATTGGTGACCAAACTAGTATCTAGTTTATTTCTTAACAATTGAAATTAAATTATAATTTCTTGCTGGGCATGGTGGCATACATCTATTATTCTAGCTATTTGGGAGAATGAGACAGTAGGATCACAAGTTGGAAGCCAGCCTTGGCAATTTAGCAAGAGCCTGTCTCAATATAAGAGTAAAAGGGTGCCAATGTAACTCTGAGTTCAATCCCCATGGTCTCAAGAAAAAAGAAATAATTTTTTAAATCATTTCTCCTACCAATTAAAGATACATTATAGGGTGACTCATCATTCCCACTCACCCAGGATGATTTTGATTTTAGTTATGAGATGTTCAGCATTCTGGGAAAACCATTAGTTATAAGCAAATGGGGACACTTGGTTACTACAATATACACACTTTACTCTTTAAAATAAAACATGATGCTTTATTTATTATCATATTAAATTTAGTATAAGAAGGAGCAATTTAAAAATAAATTTCTGGGGCTGGAGTTGTGGCTCAGCGGTAGAGCACTTGTCTAGCATGTGTGAGGCACTGTGTTCAATCCTCAGCACAACATAAAAATAAATAAAGAAAGGCATTGTGTCCAACTACAACTAAAAATAAATACTTAAAAAATAGATAAATTTCCATTTATATTACCACTAAAATCAAATTTACACATGCAGTTTTGTTTCTTCTACATGTTGTTATGACAAATAATATACAACTTAACAACTGTAAAAATAATTGTAACCTGAAAACCCAGTGACTCCTGAGTCTGAAAAAGAGCAGCCTCAGCAACATGAGGTTTAAATATAAATAGTGAGATTCAGTCTCAAAATGAAAATTTAAAAAAAGGGCTGGGGATGTAATTCAGTGGTAAAGCACCCTGGGTTCAATCCCCAGTAACAAAAAAACTTCAAAACAAACAAAAGACAGAACAATTGTAATCAGAGGTATTTACAATTCTATTTATTAGTTAACAAATACATAGTTTCACAAAATCATAGTTTTAATAAATTCATTAAATTCTAACATATGTTCATGTTATAAGTTACTTATCCTTCATTTTAGGGCATTTATGTTGTTTTTTCAAGTTTTTCCCCCAAATATAATGTTACAAATGTTTTTGTGTGCATAAATATTCATTTTGTATACATAAAATTCCTCCTTCAAATTTGAACTTTCAGGAAAAACACAACATAGGATAGAATTGTGCTGACAACATATAAACATTTTTCTTTTCATTTAAAAAAGAAAAACTTTAATACATTTATTTGCATTGCATAAACCCATTGTTTTCAAGCTCTGGGTCTTATCTGCAATGACAGAAAACAGTATAATGTGTTTGTTCTGTTCAACACATAACAAATGTTTACTTTTCTTAGAATATATGTTTTATATATATCTATATATTTTTATGATAGCTTATCAATTATCCTTCTATGTAACCATTTCATGAAACTTCCTGGTAATATAAATCCATTCTAGGAGTGGGGCAATATATTTATCTGGATGTTTCAAACAACAAGTATTTGCTTGTTTGTTCTGAAAGCCAGGATGATTTCATCACAGATAAAAATATTTCCTTTTTTTTTTGATCTTGCAAAACAATTAATAGCATTTGAAGAGAGAAATGTGATCACTGGGTAGTCATAATTTCATAAAGAAACATCTATTGTGTTCCAAAATTGACAGAGGCATTAAGGAACTCAGGAATACCACAAACTCATTTTTAAGGACCACATTGCCCCCACTTTTCACACTGGAGATTGAAACTATGGCTGCTCTACCACAGAGATACATTCCCAACCCTTTTTTTTTTTAAATTTTGAGATAGAGTCTTACCAAATTACACTGCCTCAGCCTCCAGAGTCACTAGGATTACAGGTGTGTATCACCACACCTGCCTGGCTAAGGAGCCCCTTTAAAACTAAGTCTTGAGTTTCCTTCCAACTTATTTTTAGAGTTTCTGAAGGAGAAGTGTGAAAATCTAAAGATTCAAGTCTTCATCTGTACTAGAAAACATAGCAGCCTAAGTCTACAAAATCTAAACTCAAATACAGAAAGGATAAGTCTTAAAAATCAGTTTACATTCATTGAGCATTCGACATTGCCCACCAGTCCTGTGACAGTTGAGTTACAGAATATATGTGTAATTACAAAATAAGAGAATATTGTGGCAAGTCCCATAACAGCAGTATAAACAGAGGGGACCCTGTCTCCTTCTGCACTGCGCTATTTCTAACAAAAATTGTAAGCAATCTAAATTTCTATTGATGAGATAGAAATCAAATAATATGTTGTGGAATGTTCATGTGATGGAATTAGTAGGCAACAGTGAAAACAATGCCCAGAAACTGTATGTATCAACAGTTCTGACAAATAAAACACTGTAACAGCAAATTTTAAAAGAATACATATAGACTGATCATGTATGTAGATTAAAAAACATGCAAAAGAATCCTATATATTGCTTAGGGATACTTCCATATGTATTAACAATATAGAGAAATGCATGGAATGGTAAGTGTGGGATTCAGAGTAATGATATCCCCTGGAGGATGGGAAAAGAAGATTTAAGGGCCAGGTATTGCAGAGATTGGACAGGACTATAGACAGGTACATAAGAGGGGTCAGGTACTTTGGAAAGGTATATAGACAGTATTCTTCTGGTAGGTAGTTTTTTTTTTTTTAATCAATTATCCTTCAACTTAATTATTTTGTAAATAATATAAACCCTTTTAGAAATGGGAAAGTACATGATTTGTCATTATATTACTTCAAAATATTTAACAATACATTGAAATATACATAAGCCCATACATTATAGTGCCACATAAGTAGAAAAAGGGTGATAATTCTAAATGGAAATAGTAAAAATAAGCTTTCTGGATGAGTTGGCTTTGATAGGTGAATGGAAATTCATTAAGTCTGGATAGCAGTAAAGAAGATTCTGGACTGATGGATCAGCATGGGCAAGGGTATGGAGGTGTTCTGGAAAGAGCTAGCTTAGGATGCACTGACAAATACATTCTGAAATAAAGGAGTTTGAGAGGCAACAGGAATCAGACCATGAAAGGCCTTGAACATGGCAGAAACACAAACTAATTACTAAGTTTTATGTATAGGAGGCTTGTAACTCGATCTGGACTAGAATTTATTATTTTTACTCATTATTATTGTTATTTGTGTGTGTTGCTGGGAACTGAACTAGGGCATGTCCCCAGTATCTAGTATATTTTTTATGTAATTCCAGAGGGTGGATACTTTCTTCAACCAGGATGGTATCTTAGCTGTATCTGTATTAGATCTATATTGCTCTTTAAAAATAAATATAAAAATCATAATTCATCAGGAGTCATCTATCAAATCCATTAAAAATTGACACTTGGGTTTACAATCAGTAAAAAAACACCTTGATCTCTCATTGGTTGCTTTAAAGAGTCGTTTGAAGTTTTTTCATATGACCTTCCATCAGTTTTCACACTTGATCAAGTCACATGAAATTTTGAATTGAAAACATTTCCTAAGAAGAAATAAAGACACAATTTTTAAAAATATAAGGCTTATTAAATTTTTCGGAACCACTTTTTTTGCATGAGCATCATTTGGTCACCAGCAGGCATCTTTCATTGGCTTCATATGGCAGAGACTGAAGAATATGTTTGCAGGAGCGCTTCGGGGCCTCGCGCGGCCAGAAGCCCGCTCCCTCTGCAGCGCCTGGTCACGCCCCGATCCCGAGCGCCCCGCGGTGTCCCCGCCCGAAGCGTCCTCCTCCGACCCCGTGGGTCGCCCAGGGGAAACGCCCTGGGGCTCCTCGGGCGAGTCGAGGAGCAAGTGTCCCGGGAAGACGCGCGACGCGTGGAGGGTCGGGGGCGGCCCGCGGGGCGCTCCGGATGCCGCACCCGCGCGCGGCCCCCGCCGCTCGTCCCCCTCGCCCCCTGCCACTCGCCGTCCGCCCCCCAGCGCTGCGCCCCGCTACCCCCAGTGCGCAGGCCCGGCCTCGCCAGCGCGCATGCCCTGGGCTCGCGCTGCCTGGCCCCGGCCGCCGCTGGCTGCGCGGCTTGGACCTCTTGCGGCCCGGCAGTGAGTTTCCTGCGTGAGCAGCGGCGGGGCGTTCTGCAGCGCCGGGGCGGGCGAAGTTCCGCGCCCCCACTTTGCCGCCACCTTTGCTGGCCCGCCGGCGGGTGCGGTCGGCGAGCGTCTGCTCTGGGCGGAGGGACGCCGTGCCGCCGGAGGGAGGGCTCCGTGTCAATTGTTTTTTTGTGCGGCCGCGGCTGGAGCCTGTGGCGCGCGGGCGGCCAGCGCGGGGACCCCGGCGTGGCAGAGCCATGGATGGCCCGGCTCGGGGCCATGGACTCCGCAAAAACCGACTGTCGCAGCGAGACCGGGAGAGGTGCTCCCGGGGCGGTCTGGGGGCCGGCGCGGTGGGCGGCGGCGGGGCCGGCCAGACCGGGGGCCCTCGCTTGCCTAGTCGTCGGGCTCCGACAAGGAAGACAATGGGAAGCCCCTGTCCTCCGCCTGGTCCCGGCCCAGACCCCCGCGGAGGAAGCGGCGCGAGTCCACCTTGGCCGAACAGGACATCATCGATGGGTTTGCCGTGACCAGCTTTGTCACTTTTGAAGCGTTGGAGGTAAGCGCCCCCCCCCCCCGTCTGCCTTTATGCGGGGCCCCATTGGCGGCGCTGGGTCCCCGCTGGGCTTGCCACGCTGGGCGCTGTCTTTCGGTCTGTCTGGCCCGCTGTAAACATTTTCCTTGGGTGTCTATACCACGTTTTGTTTACCCATTCATTCTTTATTTTACATGTGAGGTGCTTCTGCCTCTTGGCTGTTGTATATATAGTGTTGCTATGAACATGGATGTGCAACTCTCTTTGCAATCCTCTTTTCTGTTTTTTTTTTTTTTTTTGTGTGTGTGTGTGTGTGTGTGTATGTACATACATAGATATCTATATATGTATATATACACACACAGAGAAGTAAAATTGCTAGATCACATGATAAGTCTGTTTTTATTTTCAAGGAACTGTTTTCCATAAATAACTAGATTTTAAAGATATGTGTTTAAGGTCAACTTGTTGGTCCTTGATCTCTAGATTGTTTTGAATTGACCCTGGGTAAGTGCTCTCGGTCACCTGCTGTAGCATACCTTGATCTTGAACACACTCCCACCACTGTCCATTGCTCACTGAGGCCCAGACCCAAATAACAGATTCTCAGGATCCATGACTGGCCAGAGAAGTAAGTTGAATCTTTGCAAGCCTGAGCTTAAATATTTCTTAATTGTCCAGATCTTTCATTGCCCCACTTGGAGATTACTGTCATCACTGTGTCTCATCAGTTCTATTGTAATTATACAAGACAGTTTTTTTTTTTAAATCAGGCTTTGTATTCCTTTGTGTAGGTACCACATTTTAGTACTATCTCCTCTAAAACCTGCAGAATTTGGTACAATACTCTGTTGGCAATTTTCTAGTGAATGTTTGGTTTATCAGACAAGTGATTGATGGAAAGGTATATGGTAGAATTAGTGTCTTTAATCTTGACCATGGCCCCAGGTGGCTGTTTGACCACATCTAAGCTACCAGCCCTCTTCTTGTCATGTCAGATTATAAGCTGAAAGAAAGAATGAGCATAGGTTAAAGAACATTTAGCACTTACCTTGTGCTAGGTAGTTTCCTAAGCACTTACATTAGCTCATTCCGCTTTACAGTAGTGCAGTGGAATACATTTCACTTATGTAGGATATGAAACGATAGAGAAGGGAGACAGTCTGCTCAGCTCAAAGAGGTAGACTAGGCACAGGATGTATATTTCTTTTCCATGAGGCTAGTAAACTCATAGTTATAGCCAGGAGCTAGGATAGTTTCAACACCAACAGCAATGAACTATAAGCTGTAAGGTTTAGAAGAATGAATAGGAAGATCCTGAGGTGGGGTACTCAGACCCTGTATAAAAGAACCTCATTTTAATTAGTAATAAATGGAAGGAGTGATCAGTGCAAGGTGACAGTGGAGAAGGTTATGTGCTATCGGAAAGTGTTTGAGAGAGACAGTTGCCCTGATTTGGAAGAAGGGGAGTTGAGGGGAAAATGAGTTCCAGAGGACAAAATGAGAGGATGAGAAGAAAAGTTTCTTCACAGAGGGGCTTGGGTTTTCCAGTCTCCAAGCAGAACAGGGAAATGTGACCTGATGGCTTAGCTGGTGTCAAGGCTCCAGGTGGCAAGACAGCATCCTTCTTCTTAGATTGGGCCCTCAACATCCCCACCATGGAGCATGTGGGGCCGAGTTTCAGCACACATGTTGCACATATTCTCTTCCCCCACCGTGAGTGAAATAGAACATGAAGGAGAAATCAACAAATATTCTGAATGTCTTGACACAGAGAGCAAAACATACTGATGGTGTCCCGCAACTCTTGATAATTTCATTGAACTAGCTGAAACTTAAAATTGATACGTAGGTCCTGATTAACAGTGTTACTGTCATTCTGACTTGACTGGATAAACTGATATGGAATAATCTATTAAATATGTCACACTTGAACAAGGAATGTAAATCATATTTCATCTATAATTAGGTGGGAGACAAAAATCACAAAGAGACGATTTTAGTGAATATGTCTTGGTGTGTACACAGCATCACTAGAATTTTTTTCCTGTTCCATGGGGAGAAAGAAGTTGATTGCCTTTCAAGAATTGATTGCTGTCCAGGAAATGAGAGGGTGAATTATGTAATGTTCACAGAGTGGGTTTTATTTATGGATTCAATGAGATTAGCTGCAGTCTTCCTAAAGTTAATGGCACTGGAAATGCACCATTCTGTATTTAGCTGGAAATACCTAACTTTCCAAGTTAGAGACCTAATTGCTTCTCAGATTATAATGTGTTTGTATTTGTATCTCTTTCTCCTTTCATGGGAGCTATCTGCTGCCTTTATTGTTTGTGAATTAATGTTGCAAACCAGAGCTTGTGAGTGAAAAGGATGGTATATTTTTTTTTTTATTGTATGTCTATTTTAATTTTTTTTAAATTTTTTATTGTTGGTTGTTCAAAACATTACAAATTTCTTGACATATCATATTCCACACTTTGATTCAAGTGGGTTATGAACTCCCACCTTCACCCCATACACAGATTGAAGGATGGTATATTTTCAGTTCTTTGGTGCTCTTGTTTCCCAGTCACAGAATAATCTATAGTGAACCTGATTATTGATAATAAATAAGAGAAATAAACCAAAGTAAAAAAGATAAAGACAGTGTGTTTGGAGGGGGTCATTGAACCAAACTGTAGCTAGGAAATAATATAATTGTAGTTTTTACCTCATATGGTTGTTTTGAAGGGTGAAAACACATGCTAAACCTTTATAACAACATGTAGAATGTGTTTCAGTGCATTTTATTTGCTTTCATTATTATTAGATACGTAGTTCGTGTTTGTGGTGAATGGTGAGTGTGGTATGAATGTGAATGTTAAGAGCATAAATAGGCATGTAACTGATATGTTCATGTCTTTTTCCAGATGGTTGGCATAATGAAACAAAAATTGACATTATGGAATTGTTTTTATTTGGGACTAACATATCAGAGAATGTTTTAAGTTGTGGTTTCATTTTGTTTTGTGAGGTTTTACTTGACTGTTGTTGGTTTATAGTATTTTTGGTGCTGGAGGTTGAACCTGGGACCTTGCACATGGTAAGGACATGATCTACCATTAAGCTATACCCTAGCCCCTTTTTGTTAGTTCTTGACATATTAGTTTGATTTATTTCAGGTGATGTTCTCATAATGTATCAAAGCATCTTTTTATACTTTTAAAAATATAAATGAGGACCATACCATCATTTAGAAAATCCCTGTAATATTAGGTACTCAGTATATGTGTGGGAGTATTTTTTTAATGAGGATTATGTTTAGAATTTATTGACTCTGTGACACTGCCCTCAGACTTGAGTTATAGGGCTTTCCAAAAATGAGGTGTGAGTGCTGCAGTAGAATCATCCAGGGCTACCTGAAGTGTGTTTTTGAGGTGCCAGCCTTTTGCCTCCAGTGTGTTTGGAGCAGGTAGTTGTGTCTTGAGTCACCTGGACTATTGGGCATGGGATGCATGGTTATACATAGTATAGGGTTAGCTACGTGGAGTTAGGTGCAGCTGTGGTATTTCACCTAAGTCATAGCTTTTTGTGGAATGCTTCATTACAGAAATTTGGTGGATTTCAGAGATGATGTACTTTATAAACGGAGTCTAGAGAGGCCTATGAGAGAATAACAGAAGGCTGACATTTCTCACTCTGGGCCAATTGTTTGTCTCACTGCTTTGCATAATAACTTTCTTTCTCTCCCCTCCCCACCTCTTCTCTCATGCACTTAGAAGGACTTAATGGCATCATTTATCTTTAGAGAATAAATATAAAACTGATTTGTTCAAGAACACCAATAAGTTGCACTTAAAAAAGAAAAGACTCATATAAGGCAGGACAGATTGCTACTGGAGGGAGATACTGGCCAGTTGGTTTTAGAGTAGATCACCAAAGGAAATGTAGCTTTACCTGCTGACCCCACAGTTCAAGGCTGTGTTCATAGTGTTGGAGCATTGTGGGGAGGGCTCAGATTTTACAGCAGAAAGAACTGTGGATGACTAACCTTGCAGTTGCTCTGGCCTCTGCACCCATGACTCTTGTGCATTTCACATGAAAATTTCACCCCCCTCCCCCAATCTTCTAAACCCTGGAGATCTTTCTATACGTAGCCACAGGCTTTACCTGGTACCTGGACAAGGGAATGATGAGAAAGGGGATTTGGGATTTTTAGGGGAAAATTACTTGGCTTTGAGAAACTTAATAGAAAATATGTATTCAGTGCAGCTAGGTTCCAGGCACACACTGGAATAAAGAATTAAGCATTGTTTCATCTCTCAAGAAGTTGTCTAGTGTGAACCATCTGTGTGCAAATAAATGGTTTTAATTACTGTGAAAACAGCAGCAATGAAAGGGGCCACAAAGGATGGTGGTAGTATAGAACATGCAGTGGTAGTATAGAACATGCAGCCAGTGGAAGTGTTCAGGAGGAGTTTGAAAGACAATGAGAAGCTTGCCAAATAAACAAGAAGGGAGATCACCAGGGCAGAACAACAATGAATGGTCTGTCTCTTAAGAAGATTTGGAGCTAAGAACCAAATCCAGAGACTGGGTGTATTTTGCTTCAGTTCCACCTTATACCTGCCTGTCATGTGACCTGATTTCTTTGCTTTTACTAAGGGAAAGAAATGGGAATCCACATGTCTCCCTTTTGTTTGGCATAGAAAGCTGAAATGTCTAAAATTGTGATCTTGGGCTAAGATTATTTAGTAATCATCTAATCATCAGTGGTAGAGTATTTGTCCATCATAAACAAGGCACTGATTTCCATCCCTGGCAATAGGGGTGGGGTGAGGGAGAATTGTGATTGTGTCTAACTTGGATAATAAAATTTATAGAGCCTGGGATAGATGTACACGATTAGTTTAATGAAAGATATAGGGTCAAATAAGACATTCACATTGGTCCGGTCCATTTCAGTTGCTCTACATTTGAATCATTACTTTTTTTTTGCCCCCCTTGCTGGGTTTATTGCTTCTCATTCATTAAGTCAGTGC